GAGCCGACCTCCTTCACCCCATAGTTCGGAAGATAAGGAACAGTAGACAAACAACCTCACCAGATCCCATAATGGTTATAAGCAGACTTCAACTCTTCATGTTCCTTCGACGAGCTGACCTGCTCCACCACATAGTTCGAGGAAGATCCCATAATGGTTATAAGCAGACTTCAACTCTTCATGTTCCTTCGGCGAGCTGACCTGCTCCACCACATAGTTCGAGGAAGATGAAATAGAGGCAGTCCACCCAACGGTCCATTTTTTACAATCCCAAAGGAACTAGAATCTCCCCACCAATAGATGGAGCTTTGGTTTAAAAAAAAAAAAAAAAAAAAAAAAAAAGAATCTGAAAGACTATGAAAAGTTTCTTTCTGAGAGAAACCAACAAAACCAAAACAGGTTGGATGACGCTCAACCGCCCTAACCTCAACGGGCTTCGACCTCCCTCCTCGATATCAAGACTCTTCAAGGCCTCACACCCCCAACTGCTAGGTTACGAGGTAGCACGACCTGCCTCAGAAAACTCCCATCTGAATTGAACTTGTTAAAGTTGTTATTTGCTTTATCAATGCAGCTGTGAAATCACTGAAATGTGAAGCTCGTGGCAGCACATACGCCTCTTTGAATCAGGGCAAACATCTCCAGTCTGCCAAAGCGCATGAAATCACTGAAATGTGAAGCTCGTGGCAGGAACCTCTCTTTTCTCCAGTGTCAACAGTGTTAAACCACCCAAAAAAAAAACAAAAGGCACCTCCCGAAGCGCTCCCACAGGTTGAACCACCAGTACTTCCTAAAGTCGTGCCCGTTAAACCACCAGTACTTGGCCCATACATCGGCCACGGGCCCTTAGCATTAACGCTACGCGTTTTTCGGGGTTCGGAAGAGGGCCCTTCGCGTTAACGCTACGCGTTTTTCGGGGTTCGGAAGAGGGTCGGTAGTGCAACGGGGGAGCAAGGTGGCTGGCCCAAGGAGAACGGGCAACTTGGCTGCTATGTGTCCTGTTGGTTTTCCATGGCATGTGGAAACGTATGCACGGACGCTTAGAGCAAATGACATGAAAAAGGAAGATTTTTTTTTTTTTTTTTTTTTGGGAAAAAAAAAAGGAAGAATAAAAATATGCCACGGCGTGAAAAAAATGAAGGAAAAAAAAAGAAAAGTAACGTTGGAAGGGCGTTTTCAGGATAGAAGTTTGAAATGTATCAGGCCGCATTTATGACCTGGGTGAATCTGCCCAGTGATGTTCTGAATGTTTTCCCTTTTTTTTTCTTTTCTTTTCTTTTTTTTTCTAGGAAGCAAGAAATCGGTATCTGATGTGACTCCCCGTTTCTCACGGGCAGCATCCCACCAGAGGAAGGTTTGGGCCAATCCATGACAAGCACTTGCCAGAATGTATCTTCCCTCTATGGTGCCCTATAGCGCATGAATCTGAAGGCCATCACGTTGTGTGTGAACTTTTCCCATTAGTGTTTTTTCTACAAAAAAAGACGAATCTTGGTTGTATCTGCCGCAGCAAAAAAAAAAAAGAAAAAAAAAGAAAAAAAGTATCTGCCGCAGCTCCCCGTGAGAAACGGGAGCATTATAACTGCCTGCCACCACAGGAACATTTGGAGCACTCAAGGACAAGCAGTTGCCAGAATGTATTTTCCCGCAATTGTGGCCTATGGGGCATGAATCTGATGGCAATCACATAGTTTGTCATTTTTTCCCTTTTTTGTTTTCCCTTTTTTTTACAAGTAAGAAAAAAGTGGCTTGGACCCCACTGGCCGGCGACTGGAAACTGGTGTTGGCCATAAAAAATGGCCGACCGTGTTTGGAAACAATCTTCCCCATTTCGTTGGGACCCCACCGCAGCCCGATAGTTTCTGCAGTGGAAAAGGCAAGTCCGGCGGGGGCTGTGGTCCATGGCCTGCTTGCGCAGCCAATGAAGTGTCGACAAAACGCCACGCCGTCCAGCCCGATTCTGGAAAGTGTTTGACATGCCCCCCCCCCTCCTCGTCTGGAGGCGTCCTTGGAAACGGTCTGGAAACTCGTCGGCATTGCATTTCCAGACCGCGAGCCGAGTAGAAACGCCCTGTCAGCTTTTCCACGACCTCTTTCCAACCGCAGTGGGGTGTGAAATTCCTTTTCGGGCTGACTTTCCACGACGGTTTCCAACACCTGTGGGGTCTGAAAAACACTTCCTCGCCAAAACTTTTCCACGCCGCCGGCCAGTGGGGTCCAAGCCTGTATCTGATGCGACTCCCCGTGAGAAGCGGGGAGCATTCAACTGCCTGCTACAAAACAAAAGTCACCCAGTTTCTCATGGTTGCTCTTTCCAGAATGTATCTGCCTGCACTTCTGGCGAGACTTGGAGTGGCAGACGAGTGAAAACAAGGGAACCCGCTATTGTTTCGTTCCAGCTGCTGGCAACAGGTCCAGCAAAAGGGGCGGAACCTGTGCCAGCCACCACATGCTTCAAATTGGGTGCTGTCCCCTCCAGGCTCGGTGAAAATCGGCGCGCAGGGCATATTCAGGCTCGGCTTCAATAGCTGGGCCAAGTACTGGTGGTTTAACAAGAAGCCACGATTTTACGAAGTGTATGGTCCACTACAGGAGCGCCCAAATTCATCGGACTAGAAACATTTTTACTCTATTTTTTTTCCCCATGGCCGATATCTGGGCCAAGGATGCAGAAAGGCTTGGCCTTGGACCGGGCTGGTGGTGCATGGTAGGCCCCTCATTTGGAAAATTACGGGTGCAAAAAATCTTGCATCTGAAAAGAGAGGCTGGGATGTACTAGGGGCTTAAAAAAAATTGAACTACCTGACATGGCGCAGCCATTTTGCTCCAGGGTGGCTGTATGCGCACTGGGACTTGGCCTAGCAGATCTGTTTGGCTGGCGGCAGCAGTGAAAATGGGAAGAATTTGGGTCATGCAGACTCGGTTTTTTTTTTTTTTTGGAGGGGGCTGGGGTGGGGGGGGTGGTGGTTGCTCAACATAAAATTTTATCCACCTCTGGAAAAGGAGGCTCAGATGTACTGGCGGCTTAAGGCTGTGCTACAGAGCCGGATGCCCGGCTCGCGGGAGGTTGCCTGGGTGGCATCCCAGGCAGCCTGTCCGAGCTGTTCCCATAATTAACAGTTACATGCGTGTCGAACTCGTGGGCAGCTATTAACACTTGTTCTTTTAATTATTATTAATTAACAGTTGGATGCATGTACGAAGCCAGCCACATGGACTGTATGGGACCCACTGTCAACGTGTTTTCTTCTTTCGCTAATGTGATAACGTACAGCAATCAAGCTTTGGCTTGTGTGTACTCTGTGCATCTGCTTGTGTGTACTCTGTGCATCTGCTTGTGTGTACTCTGTGCATCTGCGTGTGTGTACTCTGTGCATCTGCTTGTGTGTACTCTGTACATGGTGATGCTGTTCTGACTGCGTATGCCGTACATCATTGATGCTTTCCTTTCATGCACTGCGTAATACGGTACCAGTACCTGTAACGGCTGAAAAGGGGGGATCCGTCTGTTCGGATACGCTTGTTCTCTCTCCCCTCAGCTTTCGGGTTGCGGACGGGGAATGGCCACATGTATCTGCTTCCCTCTGCCTAGTCATCTGTCCTTTCTTTTGTATTTATAAATTATAATATACATATATATAATAGATATATATTATATTGATGACATATAAACAGTTTGTCACAGCCTCTCGATTGTTGTCCTCTTCTCCCTCCCTCTCTACCTACGGTTTACCGGGCAGCTCTGTTTGACGATATATATATATGACGATATATATATATACAGCCTCCTGATGAGTCGGTGAAACTCCGACGAAACAGTTTGCCACAGCCCCTCCTTTGTTGTCCTCTTCTGCCTCTCTGCCTACGGTTTACCGGGCAGCTCTGTTTGACGATATATATATATGACGATATATATATATACAGCCTCCTGATGAGTCGGTGAAACTCCGACGAAACAGTTTGCCACAGCCCCTCCTTTGTTGTCCTCTTCTGCCTCTCTGCCTACGGTTTACCGGGCAGCTCTGTTTGATACAAAGCCCAGACAGGGTTACTGTCACAGCCATTTGCTGCTCCGGCACTCCTATGCCTACCGTCTTCACCCAATAGAACGCCCAGTTATTATAGCTGTATTTGGCACAACTTTCAGCCCAGATACGGCGATAATTACCGGGCGTTCTATTCGGGTGAAGACGGTAGTTGTCTGTCCTTGCGGTGTGAGCTAGATCTTTTACTGCAGGATCTGGCGCTCAGCAAAAGGTGAAGAGGTTCTGATCCAGTGAGCATTGCCGACCTTTGTTATAAAATTTTCAGGATTCAGTTGTCTGATGAGGGACGCTCGACCTGCTTTCCAGCATGTGCAGCTCCCCACCAATAGATAAAGAAACTTAAACCACCAGTACTTGGGCGACACCTTAGCGTCCGCGGCCGGCGGGCTGTCGATAAATCGAATCGACAGCCCGCGCTGCTTCGAGATTTGGGCGGCCGGCACGGCGCGCAGTGCCCAAGTACTGGTGTTTTAAATAGGTCCCAGTAGGGGGATGTGCTTCTACCACTCTCCCTACTAGAATCTGCAGAGTCTTAAAAAAATAAAAAATTAAAAAAATCATTGGCAAAATATAATATTACGAAACAAAATCAGGAGGGAGATCCCAGTAGCCATGTATGTGGATTAGTGTGACGTGATGTGGATTAGTGTGACGTGTGTGGGACGTGTTGGGGACGGGGGGCTGGCAGAGTGAAATAGGTAAAATAAAAACGAAAAACCATTTCATGACAAAACAAAATGAAGAGAAAAATGCTGAAAAAAAATAAAATAAAAAATAAAAATGCTGAAAAAGAGAAGGAAGTGCTCTCTTCCCACGGATCCTGTCTCATCCAGGCAGCGTGTCAGATGTCAGGGTATGATACACTGATCACGGCTGTGGCAGTCAAGATGACTGCATGTGACCGTCCAAGCGGACCATATTCATTTACAGTAGTCGGAGCCTTGAACTGGGGCGCAGTGCACTCTAGTCCTTCCCTCTGACAGATGTCATAGTAACTCCGTGCCATATTTGCTGTAGGTGAGGGGATTGAATCCTCAAAAACACCTCCCACGTTGTCGATTTCGACCTCTTCCATGCATGGGCCATGAGCCAAAGGTGTGTGGAAGGTGCGTGAAAATCGTCACAAAAAAAATATCGTTATGATTTTCACTCACGTTGGGGACCCCTACACGACCTACACAACCAAAAAAAAAAAAAAAAAAAAAAGATCAGCCAATGGGAGGCCACTATATATGTACCTTTCTTGGCCTTTTGGCTAAGTGAGATCAAGTGTAGTATCTGTTCTGATCAGTTTAATATCTGATCCGTGGTCCATCGGGAACATTAAAAAAAAAAAGAAAAAGAAAAAAAAAAGAAAAAAAAACCCATACATGTCCCCCGCTCAATTACAAGAAACACCACATTGCCGATCACCGTTCCTATCAGCAGTGCTTCCGAGTCGCACACCCTCTTCACTAATCCACATACATCGGTAGTGGGATCTCCCTCCAGGTATGTTCCTTAAGTGACTGCACGTCAGAGAAAAAATAAATGAATAAACCAATATGGTTTGGCGGCATGCATAAAATTTCACCCCAAACCAAATGCATACTTCAGTCCAAGTTGGCCTCGGCCCGTCGGCAGTCTTGGGGGGTTGAATTTTTTTCTTTTCTGTTTTTTGGGATTTGTCCCCACGAATAGATCGGAGCTTTTCAACAACAACAACAACAAAAAAGAAAAGAGGCTCGTTCAAACTAGCAGCTCAAACCATCACTACCTCAGGTAGTCCTACCCTCTCATTTCTATACCCCACTCGCCATTTCTACGCCTTTTGGATGCATATGGGCAGCGTTCTGTCCAGATGCATTCAAGGGAGTCTGTCCTCCAGATGTCCCCAACATCTTGGCGGATGGCAAGTGGTGCACCTAGGCCCTGAAGGGTGAGCTAAAAGAAGAAATACTGAAAGTGGCAACGGTAAGAGTTTTTCTCACAGTCTCACACTAGGCCCCCTCAAAATCGCAAAATTGCAAAATCGGTGGCCTGATCCAGTACTTCTTTGCCAAGAGACTAGATCTGGCCGCTGATTTTGCAACAACAATGTGCCTGTGACCGCTGCACAATTCACAATTCGCAGAAATAACAGTCCACTGCAAAATTGGGCCAAGACCAGTTAGAAACTGCAAGAAAAACAGCAAACTACGCGTTCGACGGCCTACCAGTTCAATAATTGGCAAAAATGGGAGGTGGCCTCGGCTAGTGGTACCGCTCTTTTTCCTGTGGCCTGGCCTGGCCTGGGAGCAGGTACGGGTAGCAGGCGCTCCCGTTTTTGGCTTCTGGCGGGACTCGGTGGACTGCGTTTTCGGATGGTGGCCACCGTTTTCGAAATTGCGCGGCAACAGTCGTTCTTTCAGGGGTCGTGCTCCCTCTTTGCAGTCTGCAGCAACACCTTTGGTGGTTGACGTCCCCGCTTCGATCAACAGGATGAGCAAAATCG